GAATACTACTACTCTGAAAGAGAAACCAGAGAAGCCAAAGTAGGAATTGGATGTGGCAGAAGGCATTTGTCTTTTCCAAATATCTATTTGTGAAGGGTGGTATGCGGATGAGGGCCATAATGGCAACCACCCACAACTTCCCTCTTCACTACTCAGACTGGCCTAAATGGATTTGTTTTCTAATTTCCAGGCACAGCTCTTCTATTAAAGGTGGCCCTTCCTCAGTATCACAGGGGTCACGGACAACAGTGGCCAACTCAAAAGCTGACTAGAATCCTACTGCTTCTCTCTGACAGTTTCTAACTGCATGGTCGTGGGTATCTTGTCCAATTCCCAAAAATCTTTACATGCTGCCAAGCCTATGAAATATCCTCAGACTTTAAGTAACCTCTTACATGATTCATTCTTCAGGGCTGGACTGCAATAGCGTAATATCTGCGTGGGAAGTTGTTATTCTCTGTGCCCCTATTGTTCAAATCTCTTTATTTTTTCAGCAGAGGCAGCAAAATTACCTTGTTTTACAGGGATGAAAGCACTACAGTGATTCCCAGGAAGACTCTTAAAACTCTATGTGCTGTCTCCAAAGTAATTTTTCAGGAACACATACATTGAATTGTTATACATGATGACACAGTCACTTCCCTCAAGGCTTTTCTGGGAAGCGTCAGGTACCTCTTGACTCTGTTTTTTGCCAGTCATTTAACTCAGGCTCTGGCTGCTTCTGWGTCTCACCACAATGTGTTTTCCACAAAACTGTCCCAACACTTTTTTGTACTCCCTTTCAGGCAGGTATCTAATGTGTTCAAAGTGGAAAARTGGAGCAGATTTAGGCAGCTGCTTCATCCTGGTGATCCTAATGGTCAGGATGCTGTAGCCCTTCACAGTTAGTCTAGGAAAATGCAGGAGAACAAGCAAGTAGCCTTAATGTCCCTCTTGAGTTTACAGTGTGACTTGACACAAGTTTATGTAGCTGCTTAATATTTGTACTATGTAATCTCTGGTGTCTTTTCTTCAAAAAGCATCTCCAACAGCCCCATTGTTCCCATTGTGGGAATTTTGACAATTAACTCCTTGTGAGCTCATGGTTGTATTTAAGAAGTTCTTTTTCTTCTCTCTTCCTTTGATCAGTCATGTTGTTTTTGTATGGATTTTCTTCCCAGTTATTTTCCAAACATGCATTAACATCTTAGAGGAATTAAATTCGGTTAAAAAATGCAAAGTCCTGGTTTCTGATTATTTATGATGCAGTCATTTATTATTTTAAATATTAATAATAAACCAATATTCATTTTACTATTTATTTATTACTAAATCAAGAYCCAGGCTCATAGAAAATGTGTTTTAACAAGGAATCTGTTTTATCCTAACTTTAATTGCTGTCTGCATGTATATATGCAATATGACTATTTAATGTTGCATCAGATTTATTAGCTGCTGTGAGAGAGCAGGATTTTTGATGTGCCTSTTTCCAAACACCTAGCTGCATTTTTCTCATCAATACCCTTATTACCAAATAGTTATATATTGCTTTGCACTTTGGAGGCACTTAAGAAAAACACCAGTGCTTTAACTCAAGAAAAATTATAAGGAAAACACTTTATCTCATGGTCATACAAGAAAATGAGGACAAATAAAGTAATGCACATAAATGCTTAGACCAAGTCTTAAAAATCTAAGATTTGTATTTGTAGATAAGAGCTCACTGAGGAATGAGGGAGAACTTGAGTGATAACAACAATTTTAAAGACTGTTTTACTCTCAAAGAAATGTGCTTTTTCATCTTTTGTGTGAGCCARTTGAATATAACCAGGGAGTTGTTCATATTGTTGGCCTAAATACCACAGAATAAATAAGAAATAGCTGCTTTTTATTTCAGCTTCTCCTGCAGAGCTGAAACTAGTTTTGGCTATGAAGAAGGTTCTTTCCCTTCTGTAATCACTAACAGAGATACTTATGGAGCTTCACTTTGTTTCCCTTGTGGAAATCTGTTGACAATGGTAAGGAATAAGAGTATCATGCTTTGAAATAATTTTTTTTAAAAATTATGTTTCTAGCTTCYAAGTAAAGTGGTTTAGTCTGATTGCACAAGGCCATAAATGTGACCTCAACGTTTTCAAAAACTTGTTTTGCAAAAACATCTGTTTTTTTTTAAACAGCCGCGGGACAAGAAAAAAAAATGTTGAAAACAGCTAGGAAACTGGTTTCCCTCTCCAGCAAAAATACTTTATAAAGGAATTAATGAAGGAAAAAATAGAAGGTGAAAATGAAGGAGTGTTAGTTTGGGCGGTTTGCCTGCACAGGGTGGTTGGTACATTCAGGTGACCCAAAGGAGTCAAGAAAAATTGTGTWACTAGTGTCAACAGTAGTTTTGTGAGATATATTCACATTTGTCTGTTATTTTTGGAACATGTATTCTGGTCAGTTAGTCACAGTTYCTCTTTGCCAAGCATTCCATCAGTATTTAGACCCTCGCTATCTGCCGTAACCAATACATTCACTGCTGGTTTCCATGGGTRAGACAGTGACTGCCAAAGACAAGASCTAGGACAAAGAACCATGKGATAYGGCATGAAATTGTAAGYATAGATTTCCAGAGTTATGCAAATCTAGAAAATTAAAAGGARAGGGTTCTACTGGCCTTGGCAACAGTTACATTGGTTCACACGAGTGAAAGCAGGTTTGTGGTTGTGGAGCAATTTCAAGGCAAGTGAGTTCCTTTCAGGTGAGGGACTGGCAGTGTAACTGGCAGGCAGGGGCTTCAGCAGTTCCTAATGCAAGGTGGTAGTATTGATTTGGGATCTAGAAGTGAGATCCAGTAATTTGTATTCCTGAAAAATATCCCAGGATGCTACAGAAAAGAGTGCAACTATTTAGTCTTACGCCTTTTTCAGTTTCCAGTGGGCTCCCTCATCTAAAGTGTCTCAGGCTTTCCCTGAAAACTGAGATAAGCACAGTATTCCTCCTGGCTTTCTCTCACAGTGTGTTCTCTAACCAGAGTGTGTGTGCATTGAGAGCTGTGTGACACCACCTCAGACCCACTGGCAGCTGCTGCCCAGCAGCAGGGGGTGTGTGAGGAGCTTACATTTTTCCTGGAGAGATGATCTCCTTCCACTGCCTGGGCACTGAGGAGAGAGTGGCTCTGGATGACATGCCAGGCTCATGGCTGTGGGTCCAGAAGTCTTTTTTGTCCAGCTTTCCTGCTTCACAGCCAGCTCTGAGGGTTTCTCGTGAAGTATCCATTGTTTTTGAGCACACCTGCTGCCCCAAAGCTGCACTGACCCTGGTAGGTGAGCACACTTGCTGCCAGAACCACCCTGGTGCCCTAAGCCGTGCTCCAGAGTGGCTCCACTCGACGCTGCAATGCCTTCCTAAGCCATTTTAATGAGTGCGTCACTCTGATACGTAAATCTGTGGAGATGAAGGAACTGGTTAGTAATGCTCTATTTCTGCCAGAAGAAAAAATAAGAAATGGAATTGTGTTTTACTTAAAACAGGTTTGTTGCTCACGGGCATTGTTTCCCCCTCTTCCTCCTGAGGTGGTCAGAGCTGGTGCACACAGCCCATTGTTTTGAGYTCTCCAGGTGTTCATCAGCTTTGCTGCCCAAGGCAGCACCAAATGAGTCAGGCAGGATGGGCTGAACAGACTTTTATTTTCTGTCACATCCTGGCATGAAGGAGTAGCTGAAAACCATAATGTGCTAAGGTACAGACAGTGGTTTAAATAGATATTCTTTTCAAATTTCCATTGCAGGTCCCAGAGGTGGAAGTTGGGACAGGCAGGGSTTTTGTCAGGTGATGACATCCAGTCGCCTTTGCAGCTGCAGCACTAAGTCACAGGACTCACTCTGAGCTAAAATGTTTGGGGCTGTGCCATTGCTGGTCTGATCAGAAGGATGTTCTAGAACCTGAGATGCKTTTTTAGGTCCTTGCTTTCATTTTCTAGCATAAAAATGCACACAAAGTTTTGTCCTCATATTCAACACCACCTTTGAATTCACGCCCCATTTTTCGTGGTTTATGGCAGATGGCAACTATATCCTCTGTCTCAGCTTTCATTCTGCTCCACTAAAAAAGCCATGCTCTGTTAACCTCCTAAAGAGACTGTTCTTTTCCTTGGCTGTGCTAACAAACCCTCTCTAGACACACTCAATTAGCTCCTGCTCACTGAAGAAGGGTACTCRCACCCACATGCAGCTCCACAAGGAGATGGCCATTGCTGGCATGAACAATTCACTTCCCTGCCACAACTCTCCAGTAACACATCCTAAGTGTTTGATTTTTGTGCCACTGCTTGATGTTGGTAATGATGCTCCCTGTGCAGCTGTCTTGCATCATTGAGTTCCTCAGTCACTTCCAAATGATGACCCCATATCTTAACCTTATTGGTTCATTCTTTTCTAACAGCAATTCTTTTCACTTTTTTTAATCTCATCAGTTTGCTATTTCATTCCCCTCCCCCCAAATCATTAAAGGAAAATATGAAACATAGATTAGTTTCAAGAATGATATCCTAGGATGTCGTCAGTAACCTCCCTCAGCTTAGTGCTTTGCCTTCAACTCCACTGAACATTGTTTCCCCACAACTTCCCCATTGCTTGCGGTTTGTGTTCTCCTAAATTCAGTTCCTCTCCAGAACTGTTACTACTTTCCATTCCAGGCACTTCACTAAAGTCTATTTTTCAGTACCAGGAATAAAGCATTTCCTTTGCCCAGAGCATCAAGCATCTCAMAAAAGCCAAACATCGACTGCCAGTTCTAAGCTCACATTTGATCTTGCTTACATGGCTGTCTTTATAAAAGGAGTTTGAAGTATAACTTAAGTAGCCTTGAGGTGAAAATAGCCAGCCCGCATTTTCCTGGAACACATTTTTTCTTTGCCTTTTCTGAAGTATGGAACATTCCTAAGAAGTGGAAAAATTGTCCTCGCTTTTTTTTTTGTAGCCATCTGGTATCACGTTTACTCTCACAACTGCAATTCCATGCTCTCACTCAGTTTTCAAGTCCCTGGGAGCTGAGAGAATTTGCAACTCTTGAACTTTACAGCACTTCACTTGAGCAAATTTCCACTTGCCCTTCCTATTATTYGTCCTGCCTCCACCTCTTTTAATATTATCACTGGAAACACAACACCAAAAACCTGATAGTAAACGTGTATTTAATAGTGACCCATGTAGAGCGTAAAAATATAGCAGGACTTGGCTGAAGTTTTAGCCCGGTCAAATTCCCCTCAGGCAGCCTGGGCTCAAGCCATACGAAGCTCGGTTTACCACCGCAGGCGTTTCTCGGAGACTGCCAGTCTTTGGATTTAGATCCTCATTAGGTTTTACAGCATGTGCTGAGCACCCTTTGAAAACCCTTCAGCGGAGCTGCTCCTTTCGCTCCTCCGCCGGCCTAGTGAGATAACCGGGGAGTAACGACGCCGGAGCAGAGTGCTGAAATGTGCCGGGGGTGCCGTGTGACCTGCAGCCCGGCGCGGCGCTGACACCGCCCGAAGCACTTGTGCCGCCCGCCCTCCCGGGGCCGCCCGCCTTCCTCGGGGCCGCCCGCCCTCCCGGGGCCGCCCGCATTCCCGGGGCCGCCCGCCTTCCTCGGGGCCGCCTCATCCCGGGGCCGCCTCATCGCGGTGCCCTCACAGGTGCGCGCGCGGCTCTGCATCCCCAGGCCCGCCCCGCCGCCGCGGGGGGCGTGGCCAGCGGGGTGGGGCGGGGCGAGGCGGGCAGTGCTGGCCGACTATTGGCCGGAGCGGTGGGAAAGGGCGTGGCTTGGCCGCGATGGGCGGGGTTTGCGTGTGGCTCGGCTGCCTCGGTTGCGGGCGGGCGCGGGAGGCCCCGGCAGCGCGCTGCGCTGGGCCGAGAGCAGGTAGGGCTGGGGCGGGGCTGGCGCTTCCCGGTGCTTTCCCGAAGCTTTCCTGGTGCACTCCCGGCGCTTTCCCGGTGCTCTCCCGGTGCACGCTCGGCGCTGTCCCGGCGCTTCCCATCCTCCCTCGGCGCGTAGTGGGGGGCGGGGTGGCGGCGCAGGGACCGCCGCAGCGGGCGGGCCGCGGTCGGCCTGGCACCCCCCCGCCCGGCTGCGGCACACGGGCCGCTGTCACCGCATGTCCCGGCGGCGGCCAGGAGCCCCCCGGCTCCGGGAGGGTTCTCTGGTACTGCCCCGAGAGAGCGGTGCTTGCCCGTGCCCTGGGGAGGTGGCGCGGGGAGCTCTGAGGGGGCAGAGACAGCCTGGAGAGCGCGGAACCTGAGCTCCCCGACACTTCCAGCTTGTCAGAACGTCTGTCCGGGGGAGGCCACAAAGGTGGGCGTCTGGAGCATCTTTCTTATGAGGCAAGGCTGCGGGAGCTGGGCCTGAGTAGTCCSGAGAAGAGAAGGCAGACGGGATCTCATTAATTCATATAAATATCTCGAAGGCAGGTGCCAAGGGGATGGGGCCAGACCTTCTCAGTGGTGCACAGTTAGGACGGGGAGCAGTGACYGTAAACTTAAACGCAAGAAGTTCCACCTCAGCATGAGGAAGAATTTTACATTGAGGGTGGCAGAGCACTGGAGCAGGCTGCCCAGGAAGGTCGTGGAGTCTCCCTTGCTGGTGACATTCAARCCCCACCTGGACACACTCCTGTGTCACCTGCTCCAGCTGATCCTGCCTTGGCAGGGGGTTGCACGGGGTGATTTCCAGAGGTCCCTTCCAACCGTGACAGTTCAGTGAATCTGTGATTCTGTGAAAATACTGCCGTGTTTCAGGATGGCCCTGCACACCCTCCCAATTCTTGAGTGTACCTACATGTGTATAACATGTCTTGCACTTGTGCTGTAAATGTTATGAAGTGGGCAGGTGGTGTATGTGCAAGAAACTTGTTTTCTGAATTTTTTTTGATCACATCTGAGTACATGCTAAGGAGTCCATTATACATAGTTGTCAAAAATAGCATCACGTTTGTGACATGTTCAGCTATCAAAGCCCAGCACAACTGTGTGGTGTCACTTGAAATGCTTAAGCATTTGCAAGTTCTTACAGCACTTGCAGGGCAGCTTTGTGCTTTAACACAAATTAAAAACTAGAGTACATCAAAAAGTAGCATCCTCTCTTATGGAAGTTTTTTTATATGTATATTCAGAGCTAACATGCATTCCTATGTAAGGCGTGGATATCAGGAAACCTGTAGTTGTTCTTCAGTTTTGTCAGCATAAAGGTGTGTGCATCTGATGACTCTTTCAATGTTTTTTTTCCTTGATATTTCTGTTTTTTAATTTTCAGATATAATTCACTTGGAAGAACCTATGGCTGGCAAGTAGTAAGTCTAATACTCTCTGATGTGCTAAACTATGCTCACTGRTTTGGCAATGCTGTGAACAGAAAAATTCTGTCTTTCCTGTCACGTAATTTCTCTAATAGTTCCTGCTCTAAACTAYTCTTAATAATACAGGAAAGTCATTGCTTTTTGCAAGGCCTCCCATTTCATTTCATCAGGACTTGGCAGCTGAGTCTTGGTGGAAAGTATGTCTTGGGTGTTGTTAGTACCTCAGGCAGTTGTGTTTGTGCTTACAACAGAAGTCATTATGAGGATGGCATGTGTTTGCCTTTTCACTTTCTTTGAAATAGTTYCCAGCCTTTTCCTTTCCCTTTGCCTTTCCAGGTGTGTGTGTGTGGTGTTATCTAACTGTGAAGTTCTTACACCTGAGCTTGCAGCCTCTGTAGGTGGTTGTTGGGTGCATAACGTGTTGTCTTGACATTTGCGTGGTTCAGTGCTGTGTCGTGACGTGTGACATTCCTAGARCCAAGTAAAAACTCTGCAGTGTGAGGATGTGTGTGCTTCGGTTGGGGGTGTTGACACTCCTGTGGACTTCTTCTTTATGGAGTTCAGTCAGCATCTGCATTGTAGTCCTTGGGTCTTCGTGCCACCCACCTGACAGCCCAGGTTGTTTTCCTGCCTGCTTTGCTTTGGCAGAATACAGTTTGGTTTCTTTCCTCTGGCCCCACAGAATAAAAGATGCCCTGGGTCCTTGTGTAGGTTGTGTTCTATTTGGTTTGCTTTCCTGTGTGCAATAAGCATCCTTTCTTGTATTAATTTTGAAACGACTCAGTTGATTTCAAGTTCCAACAACTTACATTGYCCTACTTTACAAAATCTCACCTCTTCCTGTTAACGTCTGCTTAGTCAAGTCTGGCTACTTTTCATTGTAGCCTTTTGTTTCCTCAGTGGTGGCTGAGGAAATGAGYACTCATAGGACTGTGCAAAAAGCTTTTCATTTCTTTTGTACCTTTTTCCAGCTTAAGAGGCTCAGCTAATACCTCTTCTGTATTCATACATATGACTTGTTTGTGCATTTTATGAGAGTGTCTGAGGTGCTGCCTGTGAGAAACTTGTGGGTTCATGTGTCTTACAAAGCTTTGTTTTGTTTTGCCATAGCCTCTGAAGAAGTATCAGATGGTAGCAGATTTATTTCACTGTTGCCCTTCAAAAGAAATTTAATTAGGTATTTGCAACTTAAGAGACTCTTTAGTCCCTCACACAAGAAGGGTGTTGCTGTCATGTTTATGACGGCTATTAAGCCATTGAAATGTAAACTCTTTAACTTTTCSTGACTGTAAGAAAATATTGAAATAATTAGGGATATTTTTGGCCTTGTTGATTAAAAGAACACATAAGCCAATGCAATTTGATAATGCTGTGGGAAAAAATAGTCCTGTCCTTCCCAGTGGCCTCCTCCTTGATGTTCAAGCCAGAACATGAATTTGTACAGCTGTATAAGACTAAGGAAATTAATGAGTTGGAGAAAAATGATMATTTTTCCTATAAATCTTTACTCCCAATTTGAGGAATGAAGTGAACTGTGTATAGTGTGCAAGAAAAGGAGGCTTTAATTTATTTACTTCAAGATTAGCTCTGTAATCCACTGCTGAAATGCCTATTATATTACTGTGTAGACTATGTGAGGTCCCAAGTAGTGTGACAGATGTATTTGGGGAAATATTGGACAAAATCTACTCATATAACCTGTTGTGTGTTAGATTCAAAAACTGAAAGAAGTATTTTTAAAATTTTTCCTATTAYTTGTTTATAGATTAAATGTAATAAAAACAAACATTCCTTGAAGCTCCATGGGTTCTTTCTGTCAAGCAGACTGGCTGAACAAATTTCTGAGTAAAGAGCACTGTATAGKAATCTGCAGAATAAAAATGTGGGTTGTTTAGTAGAGATGTTGCTTTTACCCTGAACATTTAATAGTAATAATTCAGGATGCAGAATTTCAGTTTTTCAACTGTGAGATGTAGTCTCTTATTGTGCAGTGATATCTATTAAGAATTTTTTTTTGTTTGTTCATGAATTTGCCTGATAAAATGTCTTACAAGTGGTAGCTGGCTTTCCTCTGATCTTAGCCTGTGAACCATAACTGTGGTTAAGTTAGGTTATCCTAACAAGGATATAACTTGGGATGATTGTTAGATTTTGTCATTATAACCATGCAAACATTTAGTGCTTATTCTGTCTCCTAGATTGCTGTAAGGCCTGGGAGTTTGACTGGAAACAACACGAGAGTGAAGGTTACAACACTGTGGTAAGTGTGCTATTTTAAAACATCGAGGAAGAAAGCTGGGAAAGGAGCTGATATGGAATCGTGAGTCCAGGAGTGAATCATTCGGTGATGAATTGTCTGCAGCTGTGTGTGGGAAGATGAAAGAGCTGAGAGGTTGAAAAGAGGAGGCAGCAGTAGCTGGTAGTATGTTCTTGCTCATGGTGAAGAGAGGAATATGCATGTAGAGTATGAGAGCAGGTACTTGAYGCTTCACATGTTCATAAAGCTGTGAAACACACTAATCCATTTTTCCTTGTGTGTTTGCTAATGATAGCATTAATATTTTCTTTACTACACATGTGGAAAATTGGGGAGAACTAGGATGTTTTCCATTAATAATAACAGAATGTTTTTAATGTTTTCTATTAATAATAACAGTTTTCCATTAATAATAACCGAAAAAGTGCAAGTTTAGTGGTGGGAGTCAAAACTAGAAGTTGGCTAACCATGACACTATACCAGCTTTAACTTACTAGTTTGTAAGAATATAATAGCAGTAATAGTTTGTACCTGCAAAAAAATCAGATTTTAGTCTCATTGCACATTATATCTTACTATGATAGAACTAATCCCAAGTATTTCTAATGAAATTATTTATTAATTTTTTTCTCCCTGAAGTGGCTTTCTAGAAGATGACCATAGAGGATCTCCCAGACCCTTCCTTAGAAGGAGATTCCCTSATTGAGAGAGAACGGTTCTTATTCCCAAACTCTGAAACATCTGTTACTTTTTCTGTTGCTGCAGCACCGATGCCTTCAGATTGTGGTATGTACTTTAAACAGAAGATAAATTTGTGATCAGCAAAGAATAAATTTGAATAATAAATTTTAAGAAAAGCTGTCAACTCTTAATTTTTTCTTTTCAGAAGGCTGTTAAATAGATTCTCTGTTAAAAGAAGTGAAAGATGAAGACCCATCCTTTTTCCATTTTTCTTATTGCTTAAACTATAATTTATATTTTTTTTCCTTCTTACAGTTCTGTGCAAGTGTGGTCAAATGTTTGTAGTTCTTTTGCATCTCAATGTAGAATTRGATATTGTGTTAAGATATAAAATTGAAATAAGTAAGGGAAGTTAATCTACATCACATTTAAAACTTCTAGAGGAGTTACGCTTTTTCTTGTGCTTCATGTAAACGGTGGRCTAGGAGGGGATATTTCTGCTGGAAGTGCACATGTTTGTGGTGGTAAGAATTGTGAGTGGTAGAAAATTATACCAAGTATCAGTGGTTCAGCTTTCAAAATGCCTTCAATAACAGTCTTCACTTGTACAAGTTATAATAAAATTTCTAACAGTGTATAATATGTTAAAATGTCATTTTAAGCAAGGAGCTTCACTGATAGCTGCAATTATAATGCCTTTGAATGTTGCTGAAGATSTCAGTAGCATTTATATACCTTAAAAATTACTCCCTCCACCTCTGTGTTTCCCATGCAYTGATTAGAGCAATCACATGTATTCAGGAAACAAAAAACATGTGATGTTCTGTCTTTGACAGACTCAGCATTCTCGAGACCCATGCTATAAGTTAGCTCAGGCTGGAAATGTAACTGTTCCATATGATATGTTTTAGTACATGAACATGTGACTTCACWTGGTTTAGTCCTGTTCTCATCACTTGTCTCTCCTAGTCTACTCTAAGTACGGCCGTGATTTATTTCATTGTGCTTTCTTACCCCTTAGAAGAAGTTTTCCATTTGCATTCTTCAAACAATGTTGTGTTGTGATATCTTCTAATAACCCTATGATGTYCCTACTGCCCGTTTTTCCTGGTCTCTGCCTACTCATTAAATAAAAAAAAAAAAATCCTTTTATACGAGATTGCTGTCACTTGTGCAACAGTAACATTACTGAATCTGGGTAAAGGAGGTTTAACCACAATACAGATTCTCAGCTGTTGCATTTGGTGCATTTATTTTTTCTTACTACAGTTGAGCACTAAAATCAATATTTGGGAAATATAGACAGGGAGAAAGTAATATTTTAAGGTAGCTTTATGCCACTGTCATCCTTTCATGGGATTCACTGTTTTAACAGATTTTCTGTAGCATTGGTTTGGTTTACAAAGACTACAGCTGATCACCTGTTAAGCACTTCGGGTGGTTACTACTAATTCTTGGTATGGTCTCAGATTTCTACCCTAGCATGCTGATTGTAACAGTCTGCTAGAGTTGATTTCTGATAGACAATTTGGATCAGGTTGTAGCTACAAATCTTCCTGGTAGAGTAAGAACTGTGAATATCATGCAAGATCCTTAATCTTGTTGTCTAGTTGTCTGCTTACTTCATGGCTTTCAGCTGTAGATCAACTGTGGTTATGGGGAAGGTAAATATTAGTGGATAAATCAGTAGATGTGTGATGCATGGGACGTAGGGATGTAAGGAAAAAGTGACACACTTTGTGTAGTGCTGGGAGATACGGGGTTTGGGGTTTTTTATATGCTAGGTGCAAATAAAAATTCATGTTAAATATCAGTGAAATTGTCCTCCTTTTCCATTGTTGAATCAAGGCAGTGCAGTTTGAGGAGCTCTAAACAGCCCTGAAGCAAGCTGTGTATGTGCTTTTATCAGTTAGTTCAATCTAGAAGTCAGGTATGCTGTTTTTGGGGAGAGGTTGGGATGATTCATCCAGGGGTGGTTTATACCATGCCATACACCCAGATGGCTGATGCTGTGTTTTGCTTAACCTGTCTGTCCTGTCTGAAAGCCGTGAATCTGCGATGGATATCTGAGCTGACATTGTACAWTTATCCGAAACCTGTTTAAAAGGCAACTCCCTGATAGCTGCAGCAGGGGTAAAAAGTTCAGTGTTTGCCRTGATTTATTTGCTGATGAGAGTATATTCTGCTTCTCTTCCCTCTCCTCTTAGCCATTCCTATCCAGATTCTTTAGTATAATTTTCCAGAGTTGGGAGAAATTCCACAGATTTAAAATAGAGTATGTGTATATACATGCGCACACACACTCCTGTGAGTATCATGACATACACTTTCACAATAAAGTGTTTTAGATGCTTATAGTTTAGGTTACCTGGAAGAACATGAGGCTTAAAATCTTTAAAAATATCTTTTTTCCTGTTCTTGGTTTGATGCCTTAATTTCTGAAAGTGTTTGTTACTGGCAATTGCCACTAGCTGCAACTGAAGCATTCATGAGATATCTGAAAACAGCAGAGGCCGCAGAATACCTTCCTGGCCTGAGCATACGTTTATAGTTTGGTATGTTTTATCTACATTGTGGTGGAAGAAGGAAAATACATATTTTGTAGCATATGGAGAAATCATGTRTGCACTTGATCCTTGACAGATCAATAGGCTTGTCTGGGAGCAGCTTGGAATCTGCAGCCTTTACCTGGCTTGAACAACATTAAACGCTTGATAGCATAATCACTGAACATCTCTGTTACTCCTTGCCTAAACTCAAAATCACTCTTGCAGTACCGTTGTATTTGTCGCTGATTCAAAGCTTTTACAGAAGTATAAGCGAGACCTTAGTATTAAAGAAAAAATAGAGCAGATATTAAAGAATGCTGAATTAATTCAGAAAATTGATTTTTTTCCAGTTTGATGAGTAGCGAAATGACTCTGTCTGATATTCTTTGCCTCTTGAGTATGAAAAACTAGGTGTGTGTTAAATGTCATGTTTTTACATAGGGACTGTTTTTTTGTTAACAGAGTTTTCCTTCTTCGATCCCAATGATGCAGCATGCCAAGAAATACTCTTCAATCCCAAAACATCAGTTTCTGAATTGTTTGCCATCTTAAGGCAGTGGGTTCCACAGGTCCAGCAGAATATCGATATTATTGGGAATGAGGTGAGATACAAATGAAGATCCTTGAATGCTCTCAATGTTAAATACTATGTTGACAATGAATAARGCCAGTTCATTCAGAAGCAAGAATTAATCATAAATGCAGATRTAGTTTCTGTCTTTTAACAAGTAGTGACTGGTCACGCCTTGTATTCCACATGGTGTCAGCTTTTATTTGGAACAAGAAAGATGATGGATAAAATTCAGTASATTTGCATAGATGGTCTAAACAATGTTTTCTCTCAAGGCAATTGTGTAGACACCCTTCACCTTGGTGTTTCAGTTCCCTGCTCATAACTAATATATGTGAAGTTACCTTTGAAGCCTGACCTTAAAGGCAATGTTTCCAAGGCACTAAATGAGTTTCTAGTAATTCCATCCTATTTCTTAATTTTTCTTCTGGATTACAGACTTTTTTGGACAGGTAGAGAAGTGTAGTAAAGATTAACCCTACCATATTATAACTGGGGGGCTTTTTTTTGGGGATGTGTGGCAGTGGGGTGGGTAATTGTTGAGAGATCAGAGAACAAGGGGAGAGCTTCATAAATCATCTTCCCATGCAGTAAACTGCTTAATTTTTTAGCATGTGAAGTACATATTAGAAGGAGCAATACAAAGAATCTTTTATATCTGTTAATAATGAAGACTAATTATGATGCTGTTTATAACATTTGTGTATATTGCTCAATTCTGCAGTTAGAGTCTTTTCTGGTGGGCATCTTTTTTGCTAGCCATTGCAATGAATCCAGGAATCAATATATGTGAAATAACTTATAAAATACTGCTGTTGTCAGAGCTAAAATGTGCTTGTTTTCAGATCATTAAAAGGGGTTGCAATGTGAATGACAGAGATGGACTGACTGATATGACCCTCCTGCATTACACTTGCAAATCAGGGGCTCACGGCATTGGTGAGTTAAAAAAACCCATCATTATAGATGTAAAAAGCTAACTGATTCTCATAAGCTAATCCCACTGACTATTACATAATTTTTCCTTGCAGTAGATATTTTATTTTAGTGCTTGGTTTTGTCTTTTCAAGTAGCCATGAACAAGGAAGGTACAGAAATGCAGCACAGTTACGGCTGTGGGGAACAAGCTGATTTAATGGTAAAGGTATTACACACAGTAGTACCAGTTTAAACAGATATTTCATGTAGCAAAGGCAGTTTCAGACKGCAAGCTGCAAGTTTGCTGTAGTTGTTGCTATGGTTTTCTTGCAGCAGTGAAACTAGAATGTTTAGATGACTGGCTGTTCTTTTTTTTTTTTGTTTTGTTTTCATGTCAGAAGAGAATAATAAACTTTGTTTGCATTATTATGATAATTCATAAATAATGGAAATGAGAGCACATTTAACTCTCTTTGAGCACCCCTATTAACTTTTCTATGTTGTGTTACTTTTTTGTTGCCCTGAACCCATTTCTCCTCTGAGTTTGAGTAAGGTCTGGCATAGATTATCTTCCCTGGTGTCTGATCTTTTAATATAAAATTAAGTCCTGTGATTTGTAATTCTTTTTCTTCTGTCAGATACTAAAAGGGTTTGATGGCTGACACATTATTTCACTGGAGAGAAACAGGTAGTGTTATTATACCATAGAGATTTCAGCCTTTTATGATAAAAAGCAAAGATTTTTGCCTCTGAATCCTAAAAAGAAAGGCATGGTAATAGTTCTGCTGTGAGCTTGAGGGCTTAATGTACATTTTGTGTTACACAAAAACGTGTGAGTTTTTTGAGGTCAAATAAATAAATCACTAACGYATATTTTACAAAAATTACCCTGCAGGTGATGTTGAAACTGCTGTAAAATTTGCAACACAGCTTATTGATTTGGGTGCTGACAGCAGCTTACGCAGCCGCTGGACAAATATGAATGCCTTGCATTATGCTGCCTACTTTGATGTTCCAGAACTCATCAGTGTTATTTTGAAAAATGCAAAGCCAAAAGGTAGGTGTTCTTACCTTTATTTCATATAGTTGTCTATATTTTGTAGATCCTAAGGTGATGTATAGTGGTCTTTAGGTGTGGGGTTTGATTCTCCATTATATGTAAAGAATTTTTATTTATTCAGCCTTATTGGTTCATTTTTCTCTTAACCTATTTTTAGTGGATTGCTGTACTGTTTCCATTGCTGATTTTTAAATTTGAGCTTTGTACAAGATGGTAGAGAAGTTTCAAATACAATGGAAAGCAAACAGGTTAATCCTAAGTTATTGAGAACTCAGAGTGTTTGCAGAAAACCAAAGATGTAACTATTCTGGTAAATTATTTTTAAATTCTGGTAAAGTTTTTGAGGTTGCTTAAACATTGAGAAGTATGTTCAAAATGCTGGGAGTGGGGTAAAGGAGTAGTGGGGATTTGGCAATGGCATGTGGCAAACCTGTGAGTGAGGCAATTTTGACATGCTCATTTTTTCCATTTCTCACCTATGTAGAAGGTCCTGTGTAAGGAACAATTTAACTTTAGTGTTTTGCATAAATAGGTAATACTTTTGAAATTATACTGGGAAGGACTGGTAGTTTTATCCCTATGTATGCTAATGTAAATGGAAATTTAGAAATGCTTCTGATCCAGAAATGTTTGTTTCTAATTTGGTCGAGACAACAGAACCAGTAAGCAACTTTATCACTAAAACTGTACAAATGTTCATTTGTTCTACTGAATATCCTTCTCATTGTGCCATTTTGCAAAAAGATTTTTTTAGCTGGGAACTCTGTCCCAACATTCTGGAAAGCTGGCTTTGGGARTACCCAAGGCTTGCTTACCACATCTTTAATCAGCATGGTGGTAATTGTTAAGCAGTACTGTCACTGGTATAACGTGCTTAGGAGGTGACAGGTGTGGGTTGGTAACAGAAGACAAAATCAGACTGCACAGTAGTTAAGTCTGCATCACATTCCAATGGCCTGGTCCCCATCATTTGCATCAACAGTTTAGATCTCCTTTTCTCCTTTGCTTAGTGTTCTCCTGTGCGGTTCCTAGAGAACGGGTGGGACTTTGCTCAGATTTCCAAGGAAACCACTCTGGTTAAAAGTCTCTGCAGTTGGCAATTCTTGGATAAGCAGCTGATGTTTTTTATCTCGAGAAATGTATAAAATTATTTGCCCTGTGACGTGAAAACAACAGGTAGTTGAATTAATAGAATAATTTTACCTACATACTTTATCAGGCAGTTTGCCTRGAAGGAAGAACATAGGAGGCAAATATACTTTGTATGGATCCATACTGAACTGGAGAAAAAATGGTTGATAATGTTTAAATAACTTTGAGACAGTGGTGTGCTGACTCTGAGACCCATTGTGAAACGCAGGTGTTTACTTTTGATTTACTGCTAAACTATTTGTTTTATCAGACTCTGCAGTTAAATTATTTATACAGATTTACTCTTCAGTTGTTACAGGAGAGATATAGTTTGATCTTGGATTCTTAGAGGTGATAATACAAAAATTGTATTTTTCCTCTAGGTAGTTCATGGGTAGTTATTACCGGGTAACATTTGATATTTGTCTTCCGTGTTGTCATTCTATTATGCCCACTTAGATCAAAGCTGTAAGAGAACTGTTCAAAAATTCTTAGCATGAAGCTTGCAAGTCTGAGGAAGTCACATAGTCTAATTAACAAAAACCTCAAAACTCCACATCAGTTTTTCTTTAAAATAGGAATACATGAAACTGTTGCTGGCTCAGTAGCTGGTGTTACTGACCAGTGTTTCTGCAAATTGTTCCTGTGTGTGCAGAATATATTTGGCTATATTCCATGGAAGTTTCAATAGCTGTGTACACCTCCTCAGCTTCTGGTTGRTTTTAAACTGGTAATGTCTTCTCATCTTAGGTGTATAAAGGGTGCATCTGCATCTATAGCTGTCATTATGGCACGTGACTGCAGTCTTTTTTTCATTTTTGTGTTCAATCAGTGTAATTGCAAAACTGTTAAATTTTGATTGCGAATTTATTACCTTCAATCTTTGTAAAATTCAGAWTCAATTTTTATTAGTATGTATGAACTTAACGTACCTATACAGACATATATAAATATATATCTTCTGTATATGTTGATGTTCTATTTGCCCCCCAAATGTTCATTTAGAGTAACTGTATAAGGATGTTGATGAAATTGGGATATGCTTTGTTTGTGGCATTGTGAGAAGGGCTAGTGTTTTTTTGGGACAGAGACTGATACTGGAAAACATGAGGAGAGTCTTCAGCCCTGAGGTGGAAAGTTTCATGTTACTCACCAGTATTTCAAATTGGAACGTTGTTGCTAATACTTGTGGTCTTTTGGTTTGTGTATTAAATCAGCTGGTGTTTTTAATTAACAGTCCCATACCTAATTGACTCAAAATGACATCTCTCTTGTGTAATTTAAGAAAGGAGCCCCAGACTAATCAGACATTTAAACTGCAATCTTCTAGAACAGTAATAACTTCATAGCAGGTTGAAAGATATATTGGGAACAGCTGATAGGAATATATATTGTGCTAAAATCTCTTCCAGTCACATGCAGTGCTCCATTTTCCAAATTATCAGTGCGAGACCTTTCAGAGTTCTATGAAAACAAAGAAATTTTAACAATCACTAATTCTTCATTTTTGGCCACTAGTAATTAAATCAATGTGAAAGAGATGTATAATCAGTTCTCCCTTGCCCCACTGCCTGCTCACAAAGGAAAACAGCTGTTGAAGATGCAGCTCATTTTAATGTTTGATACCTAGAAGCAATAAAACATAAATATTTCTGAAACATTAAAACATTAATTTACTTGCAAACCTGAAGTTACTTGCTTGTTAATCTTGGCACAGTAGATTGGGCATCCTGAGTAGCAGCAACTTTGCAGTTAAGCCATCAGTATTATGAGTGAAAGTACATGCTCATCTTCCAGGTTGGTTTGTGGTATGAATAAGCAGGTGCAAATAAGGTTGATACTCTATGTAGAATTACTTCTCATATGCATTTGGTACATAAATAATGGTGTWTAAATGCTAACATAAACTGTAAAAATGAATCTCCTTGCAAGGAATCTGTAGGGTGAAATGTTCATGTAACAGATTGCATATGTACCTCACATGTGATGTTTAATTGCAGATGTGGATGCCACCTGTAGTGATTTTGATTTTGGAACAGCTTTACATATTGCTGCATTTAACCTATGCACAGGAGCTGTCAAGTGTTTACTGGAACATGGAGCAAATCCTGCCTTTAGGGTAAGGAGATAGGTTGTAGATTCACCAAAAGGTGGTAAGGGTGTCAGTCTCTCCAGGATTTTGGTTAGCTACATGGAGTGATAGTATCTCAGAAAAAAATAATTACAACTCATAGTGGGTGATTTTGTATGCTTTGTCCTACTTTGTGGAAGTTTGTACTTTTGTGTCACAGTCTAGTTCTTTAGTTCAAATAACTTTCAAGAGGTTCTTCTCTTTCTTGTTTGAGCTTTCATTGATTAATATTCCTTTGTGTCTTGCAACAGYTGTCATGGCAGTGAGGGATCTTTTCTGAAATGGAGGAGTGCAATTTTTGCCCTCCAGAAATGCAGTGCTGTGCTTAGCAGTAAGCCTGGTGTTTGCATGAGTAACTGATAATGCATAAACATCACCTGCTCTGCTTAGTAACCTAATAATAGGCTTAGGTTAGAGTGTGAAGTGTTGCTATATGTGTCTGTTCGCAAATCGTGGGTTTTGATTGTTTTTTGTGAGTTTTATGTTTGCTTGGGTTTTGTTGGTTGAAGTTTTGGGGGAAAGGCTTGGAAGGTTTTCTTATTTTAGCAAAACCAGTACCTTAGTTCTCCATTTTCAAATTCAGGGTTGTTCTTTAATGAGAAATCATAGTTATTTAAGGGTACTCAAATGTCATTATTTTATGTAGCTTTGTTGGTGTGAAATCTGGAACATTATTGTTCATACAGCTCTTCATGATATTCAAAGATCTCTTTTAAAAATGGTGGTTTTCTTCTTTGTAAATTCAGTGTTCATGTATGTGTCTCAAATTCTCTGGCAGCTGTATGTTTAGGAGTCTGTTGTCACAGGGAGTGCTGCTTTGTAGTTGCACAACACTCTGAGCTGGCAGAGGTGACTGTGCCCTTGAGAAGAGGAATCCTGAGCTTCCACTTTGCCTTCTTGCTTCTGCCCCTGCCTTGTGTTGGCACARAGGTTTTCAGGGCACCTGGTGGGCTGAATTGTGGGACTGATGTGACCAAAACAATCTCTAATGTGATGACTGCAAACTCAAAGCAAACTCCCCAATCAACTTTAACCCAGCTATATCCTGTTTTTAAAGTAGTGTGATTTTTACTTAGAGTGATTGGAGATTTATAAGGAATGGTGGGGTGTTGCATTCTTTAAACCTGCAACAAAGCTGTGACTGAGAGAGTGTGTAGAGTTTGATTATGTGGGAACAGCCGTGTAAATTCTGAGTAAGGATTATACTTTTCTACCTTTGAGATGAATTGAGAGGGGGCTCAGAACTTCTAGTCTGTTTTTAAGGGACCAAAAGAAATACAGCTTGCTCTGCATCATTCCTTCTTTGAGCTTCTAGTGAAGTCTGAGGCCAGGGACTCCATTGAGACAAATTTGGAAGACTGAGGTGATTATTTTTCCACAATTGTTGTGAAAATGGACAGACAGCTGAAGTTTCACACAAATAGCTTTGCTAAAGAGTGCAGGTACAACTGTCCCTGGAGCAGCCTGACAACTCCTGCTGGCCTGAAGTTGAGGTTAACTCCAGGGGAACTGCTACTCCAACAACTTGTCCTGTCACATAGGACATACGGGGAATCACAGTCACTGTTATCTGGGAATGGGATGCGTTTGGAAAGGACTCAGTTCTTAATTCATCTCTCATAAGGTAGTCTGTATCTAACCTGAACAGATTTATTCAAGTACTGATGTAAGCCATCACATTTGCATATTCTATACATTCAACATGCGTTAATTAAACTCCTTCTTACATTTGGAATAATCTCATGAAGGAACAAGCTATAAGCTGGGCAAAGACACATTCTTTGGGAGGAGTTGGMATTTCAGTATTGGCATTATAGACCAGAAGTTTGCCTTGCTTTCTTAAATCTATGTTCAGGTACACAGATACATACAGGTGTTTTTCTTTCTTTTTCTTTCTTTCATACAGGTGTGTTCTGAGTCCTAATAATGTTCTTAAGTTTCAATATGTTGGTTACTTGTCAGTTTCAAAATGAGATGCTGTACATACCAGCTTATCTATCTAAGGATGTTTTGGCATCTTTATTTGAAAATGGATTTTTTTATAGTTATTCTAGGAAAAATAGCTAATAAAGAGGATTAAACACTTCATAAAATGCTGTGGTTTCACCTGATCAGATTTGTCTTGTAACGAGATTGAATCCTGTGCTGTGTTATGTTTCTGCAGAATGACAAAGGGCAGATTCCAGCAGACGTGGTTCCTGATCCAGTAGATATGCCACTGGAAATGGCAGATGCAGCRGCCAGTGCAAAGGAAATCAAGCAGATACTGCTGGATGCAGTGCCTCTCTCGTGTGACATCTCCAAAGCCATGATTCCAACCTACGATCACGTCACAGGCAGGGCCATGCTTTTATCGCTTGGCCTGAAGCTGGGAGATCGTGTTGTGATTGCAGGMCAGAAGGTATGGCCACCAACCTGGTACTACACCCATAATTCCTGGAGAGTCCATTTATTTACCCCTTTGGAGACATACTTCAAATTTGAGGGTCTAAAAATGCTTTCTGGAAGGTATGATCTCTGGATGGCAACAAGGAACTGGTTATGGGAAGTAATAAACTGAAGAGTTGTGTGACAAGGTCATTATGATGAAGAGCAGTTTTGACAGGCATAGGCTGCATTTTGTGYCTGTAAATTATTTTTAACAGTCTCTATAGTACATCAGCATGGTGTCACATCAAAGTAAKGGTAAAACTCACAAATTACTTTGTTAGTTGCCCAGCTTTGTTAGGAGTGTGCATTCGTGAAGTACTGCTGATAGTTTCCAGAAGGCAGGGAAAAAACCCTTCAGTTCTGCTTAGCCTGTAGTAACTCACTTTCACTAATGCAGCTAAAATCTTTGAAGCAGTGTTATGCCAATAGTGTTGTTGARTGGTTCTGTGGAAATATAAAGGTCCAGCTCAAATATGAATAGCTTTTCAGAAGCTACCATGACATCCACACTTCTGAAAATTTGGAAATTGTACCATTGATATTGCATTCCATATTCAGACTTCTTATTTGCTCTGATAGCAAGGGATCTAAAATGATTTAACAGTGCCAGAACTCTTTTAAAGAAATACTTTATTCCTRGTAACTATTGAAAGCACTGTTGAGCAAAATTTTATGTTTGAATAACTTTAGCTTTAATAGTTTTTCTTAATATCTTCAGATTTGTAACTGTCACAACTGAAATGTTCTGAAGTGATCTCCAGCGTGARTGCAAAGCAGCTTCCATTGTGTATTTTAATTTGGTGTTTTCTTGAAATCAGGTCAGGAAAAGTGAAGGAATCACTAGCTATGCAGGAGGCATATTAACTGAAGTAGGTACAGAAAGCCACTTACTCTTTAAAGACAGGTGTTTCTTTATCAGAAATCCTAGTGACAGCAAGRGGAGATACTGCAAGTGCAAGTTAAAGGAGGCTTTAGAGCAAGACAGTGATAAAATTAGTGCTCTTGTGTCTCTTTCCTCTAAGTAAGATCCACAGAATGATTTGTGCTGTAATGTGCTTACTGTGTATGGCTAGAGCTGCCTGGGTCTGGTTACCTTTATTCTTCTAGTTGATTATGCTAGTGCAGTATTTTTTAGGGATTTGTTGGAAGCTATTTTTGTGCTGCTAAAGGTCACCAAGGCTTTGCAGCTAGCTTGTTTCTCTTCAAGAGAGCCAAATCTGTTCTAGAGCATGTGGGAAGAAGAAATGGGATTGTGGTTTTTGAACTTCCATTTCCACGTCAGCTTTCCTTCCTTCCTTCCTTCCTTTGTGTGTGAGGAGCTGTTGTGCAGTACTCCCACACCACTTCCCACCCCTTTTCTCCATTTGCCTGAATGGAGAAGTTGTTCTCAGCYCTGCCTTCCCCTCCCCCTCGATACTCCTAAATACCTGCAGGGTGGAGCAAAAGTGAAAACAGGATGATGAAGATGGTGCCCCATTTTTAACCTTCTCCTGGATCACTTCTCATGTCTGGAATATGGAAGCTGGGATCAGGGCACTTGGGCCAGCAGTGTTTTTTTGGAGCTATATTTACAAATCTCTATTCTCTTTCCTGCTTCTGAAGCCTCCTAATATGTCAGCTTTAATGAAGCTTGAAAGCCAAACACAGTAGATGCCAGAGGGAGAATGGATTACTCTCTTGATTCCTACTGCACCTGTCATTGCTGTTGTCTTACAGGGTAGGAAGCTGTGCAAGCAGGTGTTCATATGTACATGATTTGGGGTCCCACAGCTCCACCAGCTCCTGCTCTGCTAGATTGAGAGTCCATTTGGTTCACATCTGATGAAATGGGAGTTCAGGGAGACGTGCAGCTGGGAGAAAACTGCCCTCCTGCTCTCTTCTTGTGTGAGAGAGATCCTTTGCTCCTTGCTTGCACAAATCCTAGGGCAAAATGGGAGCCTCAATTTTGCCATCTCCCACCTCTGATTTGGGATACTGGCTGATCTCTCTGCCCAGTAAGTGCCCTTTGTCTGGTGCCTGGAAAGGAAGTGGAGGAATTGTAGGAATCTGTGGGGCTGCTTGGCTGAACTTCCTCTGTCTGAATTTGATTCCTGTGTTGGTAGCTAAAAGTCTAGATTAGTGTGACATATCTGCCCATAACAATCAGGTTAAAGGAGATCTTCAGCATAAGAGAGCAGGTTATTGGTCGTGTTTATTTCTTTATAGACATTAAAAAAGAGTAGCTGGAAGGCTTTAAAGTAAAGAAAAAGAAAATGTTTCTATCTGTTTACTCTCTGAGGGTTGGATTAAACAGTGGAGTCATAGTGTAAAATGGACTAGTAGTATTAAAGTCACATGAGATAAGGAAAACTGAGCAACTGAAAGATCAAAGGTTTTTATTACTAAAACTAATTTAAAAATCAAATACAGAAAGGAATTTAAATCAAGGGTAAATGCATCTCTCTTAGTTATTCCTCCCCTGTTTGGTTGAAGTGTGTGAGCTTGTTATGTGTATTTGCAGAGACTAAGATCCACCAGCAAGACTGGTCTGCCTTGATGTTCTTCATATGCTTATGTGTTCAGAATTTATAATATCTGTTGAAGCAACAACAAATGTTTAAAACATCTGCTGGCTTCTAAAACTTTGTTTAATCATAAGGAGGGAATAGAAGGCTTATGAACCTTTTCCAAAGGAAAAACTTAATTATGCTCTGAAGTTTACCCTGAATCTTTGCTATATATCTGTACATATATAAATATGGATACTTATATGTATGTATTTATGCACATATTTTTCTAAGTTAATATTTCTGTAGAACCTCCAGGTCAGGAAGATACCTAGCCCTGAGATTCTGGAATTCTTGTTTTATAAACAGTGAAAGTAAAACCTCTCATTGGACATGTGCTCCTGTACCTTGCTGACTTAGAGCCGTATTGTACAGTGGTTCTTACCTGTCCAATTCTCTACTTTTGTGAGATCTGCCCATAACCATGGCTGCTGTCTAATGCAAAATACACACAAAAGGAGTAAGACATTTTGGAAAATGTATTGAGTGGTGTTGAAAGGTAGGAATGTGATAAGTGAGGGAAAATGTGTTTTCCTGGTCAAAAGCTTGGAGATGACTCGCTGTCTCTTTCATAACCTATACTATATCCTTGTGAACAATCCTGATTTAACAAACCCATTCCGTGTTGATGTTTATTCCCTTAGGTTGGTACCTTAAGATTTTGTGGCACAACGGAATTTGCCAGTGGCCAGTGGGCTGGTGTGGAGCTGGATGAACCAGAAGGAAAGAACAATGGAAGTGTTGGAAGAGTCCAGTACTTCAAGTGTGCACCAAAACGTGGTATAGCCTTTTTTTTTTCCTTAAATTTTTAAGCCTCCTGTATTTTAAAAAATACTGGAAAATAGGAGCCTTTTGGGAGAATAAGAGCAGGTGGCAGATTTTGTTGCTTTTCTGTGTAGTGCTTTGTTTGATTTATTGATTCTTTTAGCTGTTCTTACTGTTTTGGCTGCAATTATTGGCAAAACCACTGAAACAACCAGCCAGTCAAAATTTCTGGCTATTTCCTTGAAACTGTGAGATAATAGTATTTCCTGGTTTTTCATCTATATTGTTGAAACCAATTGTATTGTAACAAAACTAGCAATGTTTCTTTACCTGCTTTGTCTTCCTTGGTAAGACATTCTTGCTTGTAGTTGTTTTCTAGCTTTCAGCTTGAGGTATTTTAGTTGATATGTCTTGGACACACAGAGGACATACAAACTCCTGTGTTTTGTAACAGTGGATAAATGTTGCTAATAGGACAAAAAGGAGATTCTAATTGATAGTCTTACTGACTTCTTCCAACTTCTGTTCAAGTTGCTTGATAAGGATTTTGGTTTCACTGTTCATTTGAGCTTGTCCTTTCTACCCTGCAAGTGCTTTGCCAGCATAGCAAGTTATGATTGTGGCTRCAAAAAAAACCCCTAAATTAATTGATGTGAGAGATGGTAGGTGTAAAATTTTGTTACAATAACATTATGCATGGTTCTTTGTTGGCACACACCTTTTTCTCTCCAGGTATCTTTGCACCTCTATCCAAAATAAGCAAGGCTTCTGATCACAAAAAAAGCCTCATACGAAGCTCTTCTATGCGGTCTTCACCTTTGGTCAAATCCAAGAAAGTAGATGTGACACACATAACTTCCAAAGTGAATTCTGGTGAGTATTTTCTTGCAAATTGACACAAGTTAGAGAGATACTAATATTCAAGAATTAGTTAATATTGGTATTAAAATGCTTGTTTGGAATTAGTTAAAAACTTGGCATGAGGTGATAAGGTATTCATTAACTCCATGTCCTCATGTTTAGAAGTTCACTGGCCTATGAAGTGGTACTGGAAGGATGTTGTGTGTAGCTGTGGAGTGTTACAGTGATCTGATGTACTGTGACAGTTTCTACTCTTTACATACTCTATTAAAAAAACCCTCGCCACAACATTTATTCTTGAGCCATTAAAGTAATTTCTAATTGGCTGTAATGCCAGTTAAATGTCTCAACTTAATCAGGTTCCATTTACTAAGACATTCCTGGGGARTTTGCAAGGAATGAAAATCTAGTAAATGATCTATACACCTTTATGTCTAGAAATTGAAGAGATTTATTTTCTGGCAACGTGATCAAGAAACTATTTAACTCATTATGTTTTATCTGCTAATTAAATTAGCTGAGTAAAACCAGCATGAAATTAGAAGAGAAAGGTTGTCCTTTATTATAAGGCCTTGGTCTACTGATTGGAATTATGGGCTCAGCCTGTGGCTCTRGTTTAGTTTCTGTCATGGTTTGACCCTGGCTGGCACTGAAGATGATGGACATGTCACTGGCCAAGGCTAGGCCAGTTAAGAGATGTTGGTTATGCCTCTGTGATAACATATTTAAGAAGAAATCAAAATAGTGGTCACCCAGTTTTTCCTTGCCAAAGAGGAGGAGGTGAGGACATGTGAGAAAAACAACATGWAGACCCCAAGGTCAGTGGAGAAGGTGGGGGAGGAGGTGCTCCAGGCGCCAGACCCAAATTTCTCTGCAGGCGATGCATTCTGTGGTGATGACCTGCTGGACATGGTGGAAGCTTCCAGCAGCTTCTCACAAAAGCCATCTTTGTGGCACCCCTGCTACCAAAAACCGGGCTAAGAAAACCAACGCAGTTTCTTATTAATTTGCTCAACTTAATTAATTCGTCTGTGTAAGTTCCCTCCCTGTGGAGTGAATGATCCATGTTTTCTGACTCAGGTTCCAAGTTGTTTGGAGAACAGGCTCTTCCATGCTGTGTGCGGTGCTGGCCATGCATAATCTGGCTGGCTGTGTTGTAATGTCACTAAATATTTCACTACCATTTCTTTCACCTTTTGAGCCCTATTTAGGTGACTTGCACTAAGGCAGCACAGCCCGAGGGATGGAAGATAACACATATTCTCATTGAATTTACCTAAGCACCCTAAAACACTGTGCACTTTACCAATAACATGCAGGATATAGAAACAATGCAGATGCCAGGAACAGATGCATTTTGACATCTTTTTGGATGATTTATGTAACTCTTCCATAGATAGATTGAGGGAGGAGTAAGTTTTAAGTGTGTGTATTTACAATTAGCACAAGATCCAAGCTATTTATAAATGGTCCTCTTGCATAAAAAGCTTCTTGGTATAAGCAGTTTGTTAGGAGTATKGCTCAAGAGCAGATCCTCGCTGATGACTTCTGTTAAATATTTTCCAGTGTTTGATTCAGTTTGTTGTGAATTGTTTGTAATCCGTTCAATTGTAATGGGAGAGACTTCTSCTTTGTCACAGACAGCTTTGTTCCATACAGTTTAGTCATAAACCACCTTTTCTGTCACAAGGGTGCATTTGTGTCTTTGTAAAATTTGAACATTTGATACCTTGCTTTAAGGGAGAAATCAGAGTGAGTTAAGCATCATCTGCCCAGGAGAGCTTGCATCCATTGGATGTAAGTCTGGAAGTTGCTGTGTGCAGGAAGTTCTTGCCAGAAAGGTCCTTTGGAATTAACGGGCCTTGCTGATTTGCTGGCTGGAGTGGAGGAAGGACTAAGCTGTAGAGGCAGAATTTTGGTTTGCAGTGTTTATGTGCATCACCAGGTCACATTTCTTTCCTTCAAACTTCCTCCCTGCAATACACTGCTTTGTAATGAGTCAAGAAAAATTAATATGCTTTTTGTAGATAAGGTTATAAGCTGCAAACTAAAATATAATACTCTATAGGGATTRTGAAATTTTATTTGGTTCTACTGGATTTGAATAATCCATCAGATTGATGAGAAAAGATATTTTCCAAGTTTCCAGGAAAAGGATTACTGAGATAAAATTAGGAAATGTGTTATCAGGCACAAACACTAGTTTTTTGGTCTGATGCCTTAATGGCTAAGCCATAAAATTTTGGGAATTACAGTACATTCGCAAACTAGTTCAGTCCCTGTGGCTGAATTAAACTGAGAGATGCAGTTAAATAAAAAAGATGTGATTTTTCTTTCATGACAGGGAGAGGATGAATCATAGATAAGCTTGTTCTTCATTGAGTTAGGATAGGAAACTGTCAGAAATGCAGAATGACTGTTTGCAAATTATAACTTAGGTGACAGTATGAGCTCCTACGCATATCGCAACATTGCTGCTCTAAGGTTTAGGCTYTTAATGATGTAAGCATGCCAATATGATTTTTATTTGTAATCTGAATGAAGATTTGATCTCAAATCTGTTTCAAAACGTTGATGTGTAACCTTTAATGCAGAAATTGTGCAATTAATAGTGGCCTTAAATACTATGAAAGTGAGTGTTCTAGATGTGAAAGTTTGAAAGATTTAAGTAAAACTTCTTCAATATAAAAACTAATATTTTGTAGACCACRTGTTCATTGTTTTGCAAGATAGTTTGGACTGGTTTAATGTGGTAAGGGATTTAATGTCTGTGCTTATCCATCAGAACAATTCTGCAGTCTTGTTTTACCCATTTATCAAGTGTCTAAGGAATTTTACAGTTTTATCAATTTTTCTATGCATTTAGTAATCTGCAAATGTCAAATTGTTTTTGTACATGGTTTACCTGCAAAATTATTGCATATATTTAATTATATATATTCTTTTTATAGGCCTAAGTATGGCAAAAAGAGACAATGCTTCTGAAAACAACTTTATGACTGCTAACAGGGGAAAAACTGTACCTGCAAAAGATGGTAATGAACTACTTTTCAAATTTTTTTCAATATCTTAAGAAAAATCCTATGTATGGCAGAGGCAGTATTATTGCTGCCCTACCTTTTGTAAAAGCCCTGAGTCTACRCTATAGAAGAAAGTTGCCTTGCTTGTTTATATTCAAGTCCCAAGCAGGCTGTAGGCATTCACTTTTCTAAGAGCAAAGTAATTTGTGKGAATGTTTGGCTCATGTTCTGTATTGGTTTGGTAACCACTTCTYCCCAAATACTTGGGCAAGAACATAGACAAGCCCTTAAAGCTGGCTCTTAATAATGATCTTGCAGAGGATCTGTAGAATTACAGCTGAGATGTCTGAGAGAAACATTTTGCCCTGTGCTGTTGCTGCCTATATTTTAATATTCTGGTGGCATTTTTTTCCTCTGCTGTATCTGTATGTTCATGCTTCTGTAATAACGTGTTGCCATCTAGCAGTGTTTAACAGTCTTGGTGTTGTATGATGGCAGACTCACAAWAACAGGCTTCAAATATAAAAAATGAAACCAGCTTTTAAAGAGTGCCTTCTGCATGTGAATCATTCTCTGCAATTACCTGGTTTCAGAATTGGATAACGACTTCTACCACAGCAATACTTTGTTTGCTGAACTTGAAACACAGAGGGACCTGATTTTCAGCTGTCTGGTGCAAACCCTGAAAGTCCTGTTTCCTTTGAGGTTTTGTCTATAAAATAATAAGTGTTGGTAAAAACAGTATTTCTGCAAAATAACTTTAAATCTGAATTTGAATATGCCTTCTTTAAGTCACAGAATCACAAAACAGTTTGAGTTTGAAGGGACCTTAAAAATCATGGAGGGGCACCCCCAGCTTCTCCGAGCAACCTGTTCCAGTGCCTCCCACCCTCACTGTTAAGAATTTCTTCCTAATACATGATCTGAGCCTCCTTCCTATCAGTTGCCCCTATCCCTTATCCTATCACTTCATGCACTTGTGAAAAGTCTGTCCATCTTTCTTGTAGCCCTCCATCAGGCACTGAAAGGTCACAATGAGGCCTCTTTGGGGCTGACCAACCCCAACTCCCCCAGCTTTTCCACATAGGAGAGGTGCTTCACCCCCCTAAACATCTTCATGGCCTCTTTYGGACTTGCTCCAGCAGGTCTGTGAAGACAAACATCTTTTTATATCTTCTATGAATGAACAGTTGTGAATTCAGAAAAGACACAACCATAACTGAATGTATAAAACGTTACTTAGGAGTAAAGACTTGAAATTTGTGATTGTTGGATTAAAAAGACAGAAGATGAAAGGCATTAAACTGGAAGCTTTGGAACACAGGGAACAGTATAACCCACTCTGCATGTGTAGTGGGAGTAAAAAACCTTGATCGAAATTAGGGGTGATTGAGGTTTTATATTAGGGGGAAAAGCCCTGTAACACTAGAGATAATTATGTGGTGGTGAAATRCACTGCTGGGGAAGTCTTGACATCTCCCTGGTGGGAGGTTTTTAAGAACAGGCCAAATACTCACTTGTCARGAGTGTCATAACAAATAATTGCTTTGTCTGAAGGAAAAGGAATCAATACTAGGACCTGCTGAAGTCCTTTCTGCTCTTCCCTCTCCCACCCTGTGATTTCCCACATAATGAAGTGCCTTGATGACAGGTTTAGTTGGAGCAGTTTTTGTTGCATCCCAGTAAAAATGGTGCTCTGACCTCCAGTCAATCCATCCCTGGACTGGCTTCTAAGTAAGGATTTGTAGTGTTTGTTTGCAAATACACACACGTGTTTATACCGTGGATGTGGAGCTAAAGTTTGCCTGTTTAGTCACCATAAAGTCAGTAATTTGCATTTTCTGTATTGTGGCATAGCTGCAGTGAGTATCTCAGAAYTTTCAGATTTCTGTCCTCAGCTTTTGTTTAGACCCACTGTGTTTGCCTCTCTGCAGTTCTTTACTGTTTTGCAAAACTGGAGGATTAAATGACATCAAACATTGATATCAAGCTGTTTGCAAAAACTAATGCATTAATCCTCTAAAAATTCTGGAAAGTTTCATAAGCAATATTTTAATTTTCCACATTGATAAACCGAGGCACAGATGTGTCTTGCTGTACCCTGCCTCATTTTGGGCAGCAGGGGTTTGGAAGGGGGAGAAGAGGGAGAGCCTTGAAAAGTAAGTAGAAAATATGAACATAAGTCTTATCAGACAGTTTAGACATTAGGGTTTGCAAATGGAGATAAAAGTGATTTATTTTCCATTCTTGTTTTATAGTACAGATTTTAATATTAATACAGTATGTAATGGAATATAGTAGGCTTTAATCCAGGCAATAATTCACTCACATAATATCACCTTCCTTCCACTTCTCATTAAATCTTTAGTAGGCTGGATGCTGAAAGGCTGGTATGATCTCTTATTACTAAAGCTCATGTATTTTAATAAACATGCTTGGGACTGTTTAGATGAACTTCCATGGAGTAAAAAGATGGGGCTTTTGGAGACYTCTTCTAGGACTCAGCTATCACTGTATTCCCAAGGCAGGGTCACTTGCACCCCTGTCATTCATTCCTGACAGGTGTTTTTGCAAATGCTGTGTAACAAGTTCTAATTTTKGCTCTTTATTTTGTATTCTGCCTACTATAGAGAGCAGATAACTTTCATATTACAAAGCTTTTCCTTCTACTTAATCTGTTCTTTTCCAAAATATGATCCCTGAAGGACAACTTTCATTTATGTCTTTAGGTTTTCCTGGGTACAGCAGCTCTTCATCTTCTAGTACTTCCTTGGAAGGCAAACGGAATTACTCCAAGAAGCGGAACTCAACRAGCAGCAGTAAAAAGGCCCTGACCAGAGTGTCTTCTGCCTCATCTAAGATTAGTGGGGGTATGGGCTGTTGTACTGAGTGGTATTTTCACAGCGGGGAGTTCACTGCTGCATTGAGTACYTTAAGTAGAACTACTTGTGCTGTTTCAGAATCCGAGATAGTTTGAGAAAGACACTTAGGAAGGAGTTTAACCATAAACCTAAGTTTGGCAACTTTCAGAAAGACTTTTRTAACATCTTCAAGATAAAAAATGGTTTTATAGTTGGTCACTGTACCTTTTCAGAGCAGAGAAAAGGCTGTAGTCCAGTTCTCAGGCTGGCACAACACAAGTCTTTGTCTAAGCAAAATYTGTCTTGCTGTGTGTTGAAGGTGCACTGTGTTAGAGATAAATGCTTTGTTTACTAATCAGTTGGCTTGCTATTGGAAACTTGCTTAAAGATTTAATGTCACTAATTTCAGATCTTGTTCTTGTCTTGACCAGGGCTGTATAGTTCCCCACCCATGAGGAAAAATGCTCCTGACGCAGAAATCCAGGTTGGAGACAGAGTACTGGTGGTGGGACAGAGAACAGGCATTGTTCGATTTTGTGGGACAACAAAATTTGCACCAGGTATTTRTAATGCTCTGGTATTTGCTAATACCTAATACCTTGTTGAATCAGTAAGGAATAGCTTACATGTGAGCACATGAGCATTAAGTGAAACCCATTTTTTTCCTCACTTGTTCCAAACAAATTCTAAATTTAACTGGTTTGTTTCCAAGTTCTCTCTCTCTCTCTTTCTCTCTCTCTCACTCTCTCTCTCTCTCTCCCTCTCTTTGCCCCCACCTCCCCACTATGTTTCACTGCATATTTTTTACTTTAATACAACTGCCAGGAAAAAAATGGTTTAAGATGTGACTCTTACTTGTCCTCTGTCATGGCTTAAGTAGGAGAAATACTTTGATGCTGAAATTGTAGGTGTTTCACAATCAGAATATTTTGATTTGAAAGGGACCCGTGAGGGTTATTGAGTGCAACTCTTTACAAAGCTTTCTGAAAATTCTCAGTTTAGTCTCCAAAGGGATCTATAGTTTATTGAGATCACATGCATTTGCTCCTTCTTATAATAAGGCTTTTTGACGCAGCTTGTCTCTTGCAATAGTGGCACTTTTATATGATGTGCCAGTCTCATTTTTTAACTTACTGGCATCTTTGAGAGGGTAGTTGTGAACATTGAAATTTTAATCAACAAACCTTTAGGTCACATGATCAATAAAGTTACAAATATCTCAAAAAGCCCCAACCCCTACCATCATTTCCCCATCCCTTTTTCAGCTTTTCCTTTCCACTTGCTAAAAAACAACTTTGCAGTGAAACCAAGAGTTTCCAAAGGCAGACACTTGTTCTACATTGTGGAAGTTAATTTCTGAAACCTATTTATTGTAACCTAATTTACCTTCTCTATAGCCCTATCTTCTTATTGCAATAATCTTCTTATTGCAAAAGTAATGCAAAARCCCTTGTTAAGTGTTGGTGTGAGCWCCTAGTTTGGRTGAGCTGTTTGGTAGGTGATTGGCAATACTCTGTTGTGACACTGGGTGGCATCAGCATTTAAAAAATTGGTACAAGCTCTCCACTTGTTTCATCCCTGCCCCTTTCCCCAGTTTCAGTGTAGGCAGTCCTAGCTTAGGTGTTGCAGTTACCTGAGGGATGCTTTAAACAACACTGTGTGTTGTTGCTGACAAGGTGATCASTGAGAAAATGACTGTTTCCCAAATACACTGACAAGTGTGAAATCAGAAAGCTGTTTGRCAGTGTTAAGTCTCCTCCCTCTCTGCTTTAAATCAGGAACATAATTTTTTGGAGGAAAACATGCAATTGTAAGAAGTGAGGATGGGGAGATGACAAATCATCACCATTTGCTAACCCAGTAATTTATAGAAAATGTAACAGATGCATGTTTAAGTATTTCAATTCTAATGTGTATCAAAGCTCTGGAAGTTTTCCAAGATTTGTTCCTTTTGCTGCAATGCAGATCTTTAATTTAATTCTAAAAATGGGAAGGGGAGAACTTCTGAYATACTGAGGCCTTCTAATTCATAARCTGTCATTCCTGAGTTTYTKGAGCTGATAATTAAAATTACCGTTTTAACCAGTGCCTTATTACCAAGTGACTTGAATTAAATTCTGAATCTTCTGGGGATGGATAGCATAAGGACTACTAATGGAGTATGAAATTTAGCACCTTTATGTAATTAGCTCACATTTATCACAGGTTATGAATGATCAAGCTCATTAACATCTTGCTGCCTATTCAGTGTTCTGTACAAGATTAATTGATGGCCAGTTCCAATTCTTACACCCTTCTCTTGATATCACACAACCAGCCTTGCAATATGTATTAATTATAACTTTCTAGATGGAGAGAAAGAATGAATTAATATCAAAACTTTAATTTTACTGTTGATGATSGCAGATGAGGCATAAACCATGTGGTCAGAGGACTAAAGAGGGAAACATGAAACATCAGTGCTGCTCTTTTGTGTCTCCTTGTTGTCAAATAGACAGGTTATGTTCAGTAACGTTCTATTTGACTTTAGTATGTATATATAAATATCTCTCTCCATATATATATATATATATATATATATTCCTTATGTGTTTCACCTTTTCGTATTAATTAAAAAGTCAATAATTTTATTGACAGCATTAAAAATATGGAGATAATTAGGTTTATTAGGGTATATTTTTGCATAATTGCATAGATAGCTATTTTATAATATACATATTTGCTATTATTATCTTGACATTTTTCTGACTAGAAAGTGTTTTCCTTGATGTGGGTAAATGCCAGCTGTGCCAGTGGTCTAGATGAAGAAAAGCCTATAGTGTTTTGTTCAAAATGCCCTGATTTTACCATTTTGCAATGTAGGATTCTGGTGTGGAATTGAATTGGACAAGCCTCACGGGAAGAACGATGGCTCTGTGGGAGGAGTGCAGTACTTCAGCTGCCTTCCCAGATAYGGCATATTTGCACCCCCATCTCGTGTACAGAGGTGAGCACTGAAGCTCTTGTAATGTTGGGTTGCCAAATGATTTCTTAATACATTTCCAGTGTGAAACAAAATTTTGAACAGATACAGAAGATACAAATGTTTTCTTCTGCTAAGGGAAATTTATAACCTCCATTAAAAACCTGGTGGGTTTTAGATCAACGTTTTAGAGCAGGATATAAATTCATAATGCAGTTCTCCCTGTTTTTCTTGCAGCTGTTTAAAGTATTTTTTTTTCCAGGGCCTCTGCTAGTCTGTGTTCATGAAACCTTATTTTCATGACCCAATCCTGATGTGTTCTGCTAAATTCAGTTATAAAAGGAAATTGCCTTTGGACATGACTGGAAATGCTTTTCTTATCCCAGCTAACTGCACAGGGGATCCAAAGCATCCACCACTTGATTRCAGTCTCTTTCTTTGGTTTTGGGAAGAGCATCCAAGGAGTTCTGTTCTCTTTCCTTCTGTATTTGTATGTAGTAACTCTGCCARACACATTTTTGCTTTTATTACTCTGAATAAGCCAGCTCAGGCAAACTGTTCAGARCCTGCCTCAGAATCATACCTGCTGTCTCAACGAGTAAGAGACAGGTAACTCAAATACACTGGTTTGCTCCAGGCACTTCTTGCATACCAGCCTGAGTGTAGGAGGAATGTTRGTGTCTTTTGGGGGCAGATGGAGAAGGAAAGAATCAAAACTTCATCAATATTTGACAAGAAGCCAGGAGGTTTGTTCAGAGTTGAGGTGAAATGATTTCTTTATTGTGTTATTGCTTTTCAGACTGACGGGTTCKCTGGATTCTCTCGCAGAGACTTCGTGGAGTAAAATAAGTCATACTTTTCCAGGTAGGAGTGTGAGACACAGTGARGCAGCCCCCTCAGGCCCCACTCTGCAGCCAAAATAGTCTGCACAAAGCCACCTTCYCCAGAAGCACAAGAGATTTTCAGGAACCCAAATGCCAGCCAATAATCCGGCTTCTCCCTTCCTAAAAATGTAGCCTGCAGAAGGAACTGTGGAGTACTATATTGTTCTTAACACTCTTATTGGCAGAAAGAATTATGTCAGTTACGACTGATGGCAGTATTCCATTATTACTACATCGCATTCTAATCAGAGAGAAAGGGAAATGGAACCTGCTCCTTAATGTACATTGAGATTGATGAAGGGGTCAGTGTAGGGAGATRTCCCTATGAAATTACTAAAACTTATGTGAGGTTCTTGAAGTATTTGGTTTTCTTTTCCTCTACTTAAGCTTTTAATGAGAAGACTGCTTCAAAATACTCCTGTTTGATTTGTTTAATTTAATTTCTGTCCTCTCTGAAAATCCAACGATATTATGGACATACACTTTCATGAGAAGTTTGATCATTTAATTTCCAAATTAGAGAGAAGAATGTGCAGCAAATGTAGTGGAAGCAGTATGAAAGAAAACACAGAGAATATATGTTCATAAAGGATGGTTTTCTTTCCTTAAGAAGTCCTACACAGCTTATTATTCTTTCCACTTAGGTTTTAGACGCAGTCTAAGCACCACTTCTGCATCTTCACAAAAGGAGATGAACAGAAGAAAYGCCTTTGTTAGGTGAGTGTTAAGAGTTTCAAGTGCTTGGGTGRGCTGACTGTTAGCTTTGCTGTTTCTTGCTCAAAAGAAATCCTACGTGCATAAAGGTTATCTAGACCTTTATGTGTTCCTTTTTTTCCCTTCCCAAATGGACCAGTAGTACACTATTTTCCCAAGGGCATCCAGGAGTACAGTCCTAGAATTCAGGGTGGCATTAAAGTTGTTTTCCAGTCATCCATCACCGCATATTCTTCAGATTCTTGCATTTTCACACAGCTGGGTGAAGTTCAGAGGGCCTTGGTAAAGCACTTCAGTTTGTCCTGGTGATCTTGACTGACACTTGTATGTTAAAAGGTGTTTTGGTAAAACTGTTCTAAGCCCCAAATAAAATGCTCTGTATGGCTTAATTTACCAATACTATCACCTGCTGTAGATCCTAGCATCGGGTGGAAGGAAATTGCTTTTCCAATACTTYAGACTGCCAAGTGTAGCAGCCTGCTACTGTTATTTCATGGTTTGTTAGTGGCATGAGATCGAACCCAGTTTTTCTAAGAAGGGATTTGAGGGTGTACTTTTTCCCCCATGCACTTCACTGAATTACAGATTTGCCCTGGATGTTTTATAGAAAACATAAAAGGCTCTTTTCTTCCCCTTCTTTTCTCGCTAGATCCAAGAGCTCCGTGTTGCGGCGCAGCTGGAGCAGCAGCACTGCAGCTCCCTCTGAGGGGCCTGTGAAGCTGCACGAGGGCTCCCAGGTTCTCCTGACCAGCTCCAATGAAATGGGGACCATCAGGTACATTGGTCCCACAGACTTTGCACCGGGGATCTGGCTGGGGCTGGAGCTGCGCAGTGCCAAGGGAAAGAATGATGGGTCTGTAGGGGAAAAGCGCTACTTCACCTGCAAGCTGAACCACGGGGTCTTGGTGCGACCCAGCAGGGTCACCTACCGTGGCATTAATGGAGCAAAGCTGGTGGATGATATTTGCTGAGCCACAGTGTGCTCACAGAGAGGGGAACGAGTATTTTAAAGCACAAAACAACCCCRCCTAGAATGCAAACTTGTTTTGAAATCTTTAAATCTGCATTGGCATTTTACATATATAAGTATATATGTATGTGTGTGTATATAATATATATATTTTATATAAATATATATATAAAATAGATTACAAAGGGTTCAGTTACGTTAACAAGTAAAACCACTGCTGAGTTACTCTTACTKTAATGAGCCTTGTGTGGAAGGTTATTACAGAAGCATCTTGGCTTTAAGATGCTGCATCACTTGAATACGGTTCCAATTGGAGAACTGAGTGTGTGCAGCGTCCTCTAAAGTTCCTGTGTGGTTCATGCAATATTTAAAGGGTTTTTCTCTGTGTAGTAACGAACTGGTAATGTTTGTGCATTGCCTGCTTTTGACAGCAGAGGTGGKTGATGGGTAACATTAGCCTGGTTCCTGGGCACTTCATACCAGCTGCTAGCAATAAGAAAGGATTAAAAAAAAAAAAAGACAAAAAAAAGACCTTTTTTTGAAGCAGTTGTGGAGTATTTTTGCATTTTAGCATTTGGATCCTTCCTCTTCTTTCCCCCTCCTCTTCTCCTCTCCATAATGCAAAAGGGCTGATAAAATAAGGATTTGCCCCTCTCCTAGTGAACAACAGCAATTAGATAAAAAGCCTTTAAAAAGCACAAATATGCTGCATGTCAGTCTGTACAGTAACAAGCACTTTCTGTTCTGCATTTGTGGAAAGAGTTACGTATAAGATGCACTCTTTAGAATAATGCACTTTGCACTCTCTTGGAGAGCTTTCCCTCATTTTTAGAGACTATTTTTTAGTTTGAGGTGCTGCAGGCAATGACTATCACAGTTGTAAAATGCAAATAAACCCAGAGTGGAATACTCTGGTAATACCCTCATCATAAATATTAAGTCTGTATAAATACAGCAAGGTAATTCCTGCCAGTGGTATGGAACAGATACAGGGTTTCCAAGCAAGCTGTTGTCATTATTTGATTAGTTTGTGATATATTTTTCTTATTGTTTGCTTTGGAACAGTTTCCAGTATGAATTTTTTGTGAGAATCCTATGATAAATTAAGGATAGTTTTAGGTACAGTACTGTAATGGGCCTTTATGTGACATCATTTGTGTATCAGCCTTTTAAAACAGCTAATCTTTTGTCCATGTTTTAAACATAGAATGTATTTTAATTGCTCAGCATCTGTTAATATTATCTTAACTGGATGGGGTTGTGTTCCAGAATAGTCATTTTACTCTTAAATGATTTGCTTGCTCTTGCCTACTTGAAGAAGTGACACTTTAAATCATAATATCCTATTTTTAGACAGAATCCTACTGCTGTAACCTTCTTTTAAATGTTGCTGTAGCTATTTTTCCTGATCTGTATTTAAAATAATCCATATTGTATTCTCACTTAAGAGAATTTTTAATTGAATATAAAAGCTGTAAATTTTGAATGTAAAAAAAAGAAGTAATGCTTTATATTTAGAGATGCAGAAATTCAGTGATGTACCGAACTTTACTTTGTCTAATATCTGTTCCTTGCTGGTATTAATAAAACAAAACCCTGTTAAATAGTAGAGCAAAAAGAATTTTCATTGGGTTGTTACAGAATGTACATCTCTTACTTCTGTTTTTCTGTACAAATTAAGGGCAGGGGGTTCAGCATGGAACTGTAACTGCCAAAGATGAACCAGAAGCTTTTCTCTCTCCTGGCTGTTCAGCGCTGAGCTGCCAGTTCCAAACAAAGTGTTTGCACAGCACATTCTGTCACAGCCTGGCGCTCCTGGGCGAGCAGTGGAGTTTCTGTGAGGAGACACTCATTATCAGGAATGCTCCTTTTCCTGCCTGACAGATGGAATGGGTGGAACTGCTTTATCTGAGGGGTGGCTGGAATTCTCCAGGAGGTAAGTATGGGAGCAAGTGTGTGGGTGAGGCAGCAAGCTCGGGCAGCTTGTTACAGTCACACCACTTTTGTGTGCTCTGTCTTGCACAGATGATTCACTGGGAACTTTGTTTTCCTCCAAGGATGTCAGGCTGCACCTTCCACAGTGCTGCAGGACTTCACTGAGCCTGCCTGATTCGTGCAGGAGAGGGCACAGATACAGATACTGTACTTTACCTTCCATTTCAGCTTCAGCCAGCAGCACATTTCTCATGGAAGCTCTGGCTGTAATTGGTTCGAGTGCTSTAGCTTAGGGGAGCAAGTCTGACTGCTGTCAGGATGGAGCTGTTGTGGCGGCTCTCAGAGTCTTCTGCCAGGAAGCAAGAAGCACTGTGAATTTATGCTGTCTGAAACAGAAATAAATCAGTCCATTCCAGAAAGGATTACTGATGGCTCTCTTCAAGGTGGTGATAGGAAGGGATTTGTGCTTCCCTAAATCCAAGGTAAGTTGCCATAATCCTTTACTCCAACTCTTGCAGGAGGACACTGTGTCAGGGAAAAAACTCTGAAAATAAGTGGCAGTGAAGTTTGAAATCAGGTGCTGTGCAGAGGACTGTGCTATCACAGCCCCTGACTGGTTAGAAAAAAAGCCGAAAGATCCTCTAAGTCCCTACATACTACTTATAAATAAGACATTATCTGTGGTTTATAAATAAATAAACAGGTGGTTCCCAGCAATTCTGTATTGTCTCTGCAGACTGAGGCCAGTCCTTGTCCCCACTGCATGTCTCAGGCCCAGTTAAAGAAAATGTCCTTCCTTCGTGTTCTTAGCAATTAAATATTTCAGGTTTTCCTGGACAGTGGCTGGAAAGGAGAGACCACAGGTGCGTGTGACAGGAGGAAGAGAACTTTCTTGAGGTGTCTGGGGATGGGGAATTAATTTGTAGGCAGCTATACTCKGTGATTGTTTTGCAGGTGGTGACAGTAATGGTTTTCTGGGCAGGGAGCCTGCACTTCCAGAGCACTGCTGGTCAGCAACATCTGAGGCACACGGATCCAGGATSGGCTCTGCAGCTGTGCAAGACAGAGCCTGGGTTCCCTGACAATTTCCCTCTGTTACCTGTGACAGGTGGCAAATCCAGCATTTCTGTAGTGACATTTTCAGAGWTCAGAGTTTGCARAASCTTGTCAAGGACCAGGTGGGAACTGGAACTGGCCATGAAAGCCACATGGCACAATCCCCACCTGCATCCTTTTCCCTGCCTTGCTGCAGACACCACTGGAAGAAAAGGGAATTA